TAGGGAAAGGGAATCCCTTAACAGCTAAAAAGTTGCTGGTAGATGAAAGGATACTCAGAAAAGTAACAGTGATAGTGATTTGATTGACCATAACAGGGTTTTCATCACATTCAGGTAATCTATCCAATTTTGGATATTTTCCTTCTGAGAATCTAGTGACCAGGACTGATCTATATTTGAGGAAAATTCCATACTGACTTCTCTTTGAAAGAAATAAGATGGATAATGTAAAAGTGGTGATTATATATGGTAAATTTTGTTAATTGCTTACCAAAAGCCCTTCTCCCCCTACTTTACTGCAAACAGAACCCTGATTTGTTTAGGGAAGCAAGGTACCTAGCCTTAAATTATGAATTATGTTTGGTCTAAGCCACTTATGATAACCCTACTCCCTAATTTTCCAGTCTCCATGCAGTTTAGGGTGATCTTGTGACCAGATCTTGTGGCCACAAACTGAAGAGAATTCTACTGCAGCTGTAAATTCTGGAAAAAGCATTTACGCTTCTCATCAGACTCTGCTCGTTAAGCCTCTCCACTACTTTCTGTCTTGAATATAGACCTGAAGACTTGTGAACACTGTGGAGCAGCCATTTTAGGACCATGAGGGAAAAGCATGAAGGTGAAAGCCAGTGAACTGAAGATGGGCGAACCAACGGATGGAAGGTGTCTGGGTCCTGGATGGCATCACCGAGGAACTGAACGAGTGTTAACAACTGCCTGCCTTCTGATTTCTTACAACATAAGAAAAATATTTGTTTAGACCACCATATTCAAGTTTTCTGTTATTTACAGCTGAGTGCATTGCTAACTAATATACAAGTTTTAAGCACTTTGCCTTGAGCCTAAGCATTGCAGGTCATCCTCGGGAACACCACAACTTTCTCAGAGAAATGAGTAAAATATTTTAAGTAAGTGACTCAATTTATAGAAACAAGTTATGGCCTGGAAAATGATTTTGTTCTTTTCACTTCACTGGCTCAAGAAAGCTTTTCCCCAGCACTTCTTTCCCTCAGTGCCTTTGTCTGGACATAGCCTAGAGCAGAGCTTGGGAGGACGTTTTATTTTCCCCATTCAAGTACATTATTTATTTGAATCTTCACATTGTCTCTGAAGCAAATACTCTCTCATAGGAGAGTAAAATGACTATGCAAAGCAATGCATTTTCTTCACAGGCGTTTTCAGCAATGGCATATTAGTAAGACAGGCCCACAAAAGGAAAAAAGCCAGTGTCTTATTAGAGTGAAAAAAACTCTCCAATTTTAGTTATCCTCTTATGCATGAAAACATCAATGGTATATAGTGCTGATCTGCCCATTTTGAAACTCTTTCAAGGGGTATTATTCTTAAGATTTATTTAGTTAAAAAGAATTGAAAAACGGGATCAGATAAGGACAAGAGCTAGGCCAAGGTGGCTACTTACTGGAGGTGGAAGAATCCCTTTCTCATCATCAGAATGGACAGTAAAGAACAAAAATCTCATCCTGTAACATTGGAGATTATTTGAAATAACAGGCTAAAAACCACTTACAATGTTTGGATGTGAGAGGCGAAGAAGAACTCCTATCTCAGTTCTTACGATTTTTTTGTCCACCTAAAAGGCAAAATGAGAGAAATTGAAAGATACTCCCACCTTAGAAATATCTTCATTGTAGGAGAGAGTCAGAAACAGCAATAACCACCTGGATGAATCAGGTCAATGGCAGAGGTTAATTTCTAAGTGTTGCCTTCCTCCCTTTTTTGTCCAGCTGCATGTCTTTCCTCTCTGTTTCAGACATAAAGAGAACTAGTTACAAATATGGGTCACAACTTGTCAGACCGCTTGTGTGGCCCCTTTGCTATCAAAAGTTATCGCCATCACCACTAAGGCACAACTACATCTCAACCTATTCCTCCTCCTCCTCTTCCTTTCTTTTTTGGATCCTTGACCCAAACCCATTGGAGCTGTCAATCACTTCACCTGCCTTTTTCCCACAGAAGTGAGCACATAACCCAGCCTAACTAATCAGAGTACTCTCTTCTCTGGCCAAAGTGACTTGAGTCAGGGATATCCACCAGATCCAAGTCATTACAATCTGGGTCCTCCCCCCAAATTTTGCTCATATAATCAAGAAAGAGGTATTCTCTTTTCCTCTGAAATTGTGAGAGCAAGAGTATAGAGTCTGCCACTACCAGGGACCATTGTCGATACCATATGGAGATCACTTCACTGAAAATGGAGCCAACACAGAAAAAAACATTGCTAGAGATGAAGAATGAATACTGCTGACCATGTAATCCACTGGATTCAGTTTTGCATAAGCTAGTTTGCCCTTTGAGCTGTCTTATTATGTGAGCTACTGAATCTCCTTTTCTACTTAAGTTATCTGGAGTTGCATGATGCTATCAGTGATGTAAGCTGAAGGAAAATAAAGGGTCTAAGGAAATGATGACTCAATATGAAAGACTGGAGTAGAGATTTGGATAAAGCAGTTCCTCAGATCTATGTGTTTTCTGGGAGGGAAGAGGATCTACAACATTCATCATATTCTCTAAATGTCTGAGGCAAAGGAAAGCCTAAAAATCTGATCTATTTAAAAAAGAGAAAATGTGTTCCATGGAACTGGGGAGTCAAGGATCTCTCTTGAATGTATGTGTAATGAATGTATAGTACATAGTAAGGGTCTAACGTAGTTTTTTTTTTTTTTCGGTACGCAGGCCTCTCACCGCTGTGGCCTCTCCCGTTGCGGAGCACAGGCTCCGGACGCGCAGGCTCAGCGGCCATGGCTCATGGGCCCAGCCGCTCCGCGGCATGTGGGATCTTCCCGGACCAGGGCACGAACCCATGTCCCCTGCATCGGCAGGTGGACTCTCAACCACTGCGCCTTAGGGAAGCCCTAATGTAGTTTTTAATGTGCTCAGCCTCAAGCCTCATGTTAAACAATGCTGGGCATATGAAAAAACAAACAAAATATCATCTTTTTCAGAGGAAGATTAAAATCTAATTTTGGGCATAAGGCTCCTCTAGAAGATGCCATAAGAAGATAGAAGGACGTAAGTTGTAAACAAGTATTGTTTTAAAAATTCCATTGTTCAGTGGAAGATCATTTTTCTGTGAGTCAAAATACAGCTATCATTCAAAGAGTGGACTAACTCTAAAAGACTTTGAAATTATTAGCGATTAAAAGTCATGCTATTGGACTTCCCAGGTGGCGCAGTAGTTAAGAATCCACCTGCCAATGCAGGGGACACGGGTTCGATCCCTGGTCCAGTAAAATCCCACAAGTCGAGGAGCAACTAAGTCCAGGTGCCACAACTACTGAGCCCGCATGCCACAACTACTGAAGCCTGCGTGCTGAAAGCCTGTGCTCTGCAACAAGAGAAGCCACTGCAATGAGAAGCCCGCGCACTGCAACGAAGAGTAGTCCCTGCTCGTCACAACTAGAGAAAGCCCGTGTGCAGCAATGAAGACCCAATGCAGCCATAAATAAATAAATAAATAAATAAATAAATAAGTCACACTAATGTTAATATAAAATGAAGAAAGACTTGTTAAAGTGCGCACAGGTGATGCTAGTGTGATATGTGGGCTGCTGATGGCCACTCAGTGATATCAGACAGCCCAACACATGGGATATTGACAGCATGGTCTGTGGGTAATGTAGTATTAGAGGAAAACGCTATAAAAGTTCTTTTATCTAGTTAAAAAATCACATATTTCATGAAAATTTGCTATTGAGCAAGAGTCATTCTACTTGTATCAAAAGGGAGAGCTCTGAGAAAGAGCGGCATTGCTAACACAGGCAGGTGACACTGACAGATCTCTTCCAAAGAGTTCTTGGCTCACACTCCATTTCACTTCTGTAGATGCTGTTGAGGAAAATTTGGATATAGATGATAATTTTAAAATTATTTTTAAAAATTTAAATTTTTTTCTAGCTTTGCTGAGGCATAATTGGTATACAAAAAACCACACGTAATTAATGTATACAATGTGGTGAGTTTGGACACGTGTATAGATTCATGTTACCATCACCACAATCAAGGTAATAAACATATCCATCACCTCCAAAAGTTTCCTGTGTCCCTTTGCTGTGTGTGTATGTATGTGGGGTGTGTGTGTGTGTGGGGGGGGTGGGTAAGCACACTTAATGTGAAATCTACCCTCAACAAATTTTTAAGTGAACAATACCTTATTATTAACTCTGGGCATTATGTTGTACAGTAGATCTCTGGAACTTATTCATTCTGTATAACTGTAACGTGATACCCACTGAACAACAACTCTCCATCTCCCCCTCCACCTATCCTTTAGGAAGCGCAATCCTACTCTCTACTTGTATGAGTCTGACTATTTTAGATGCCTCATATAAGAGGAATCATTCAGTGAATACAGATTTTTTTTAACGTTTTTATTGGAGTATAATTGCTTTACAATGGTGTGTTAGTTTCTGCTTTATAACAAAGGGAATCAGCTATACATATACGTATATCCCCATATCTCTTCCCTCTTGCATCTCTCTCCCTCCCACACTCCCTATGCCACCCCTGTAGGTGGTCACAAAGCACCGAGCTGATCTCCCTGTGCTATGCAGCTGCTTCCCACTAGCTATCTATTTTATATTTGGTAGTGTATATATGTCCATGCCACTCTCTCACTTTGTCCCAGCTTACCCTTCCCCCTCCCTGTATCCTCAAGTCCATTCTCTAGTAGGTCTGCGTCTTTATTCCCATCTTGCCCCTAGGTTCTTCATGACCCTTTCTTTTTTCTTTTAGATTCCATATATATGTGTTAGCATACAGTATTTGTTTTTCTCTTTCTGACTTACTTGACTCTGTATGACAGACTCTAGGTCCATCCACCTCTCACTACAAATAACTCAATTTCGTTTCTTTTTATGGCTGAGTAATATTCCATTGTATATATGTGCCACATCTTCTTTATCCATTCATCTGATGATGGACACTTAGGTTGCTTCCACGTCCTGGCTAGTATAAACAGAGCTGCAATGAACATTTTGGTACATGACTCTTTTTGAATTATGGTTTTCTCAGGGTATATGCCCAGTAGTGGGATTGCTGGGTCATATGGTAGTTCTATTTTTAGTTTTTTAAGGAACCTCCATACTGTTCTCCATAGTGGCTGCACCAATCTACATTCCCACCAACAGTGAAAGGGGGTTCCCTTTTCTCCACACCTTCTCCGGCATTTATTGTTTGTAGATTTTTTGATGATGGCCATTCTGACTGGTGTGAGATGATACTGCAATGTAGTTTTGATTTGCATTTCTCTAATGATTAATGATGTTGAGCATTCTTTCATGTGTTTGTTGGCTATCTGTATATCTTCTTTGGAAAACTGTCTATTTAGGTCTTCTGCCCATTTTTGGATTGGGTCATTTGTTTTTTGATATTGAGCTGCATGAGCTGCTTATAAATTTTGGAGATTGATCCTTTGTCGGTTGCTTCATTTGCAAATATTTTCTCCCATTCTGAGGGTTGTCTTTTGGTCCTGTTTATGGTTTCCTTTGCTGTGCAAAAGCTATGAAGTTTCATTAGGTCCCATTTGTTTATTTTTGTTTTTATTTCCATTTCTCTAGGAGGTGGGTCAAAAAGGATCTTGCTGTAATTTATGTCATAGAGTGTTCTGCCTACGTTTTCCTCTAAGAGTTTGATAGTGTCTGGCCTTACATTTAGGTCTTTAATCCATTTTGAGTTTATTTTTGTGTATGGTGTTAGGGAGTGTTACAGGTAGCTGTCCAGTTTTCCCAGCACGATTTATTGAAGAGGCTGTCTTTTCTCCATTGTATATTCTGGCCTCCTTTGTCAAAAATAAGGTGACCATATGTGCATGGGTTTATCTCTGGGCTTTCTATCCTGTTCCATTGATCTATATTTTTGTTTTTGTGCCAGTACCATACTGTCTTGATTACTGTAGCTTTGTAGTATAGTCTGAAGTCAGGGAGCCTGATTCCTCCAGCTCCATTTTTCTTTCTCAAGATTGCTTTGGCTATTCGGGGTCTTTTGTGTTTCCATACAAATTAGTGAATACAGATTATTTTTTATCACAATCTTCTCTTCCACAGGACAATAAGGAGTTACTCACTAATACAAAATAAATATATTTTTCATTACTGCATGATGCTTAAAAAAACTGTAAGGACATGGGTGTCTCTAAATTAAGATTTGTTAATATTCAAACCTATTTTTCTCACTACACATTTAGCATTTATGTAATATAAGGTTCCCCCCCCCCTTTTTTTTTTTTTTTTTTTTTGGGGGGGGGGGTTTTTTTTTTTTTTAGATGTTGGGGGTAGGAGTTTATTAATTAATTAATTTATTTTTGCTGTGTTGGGTTTTCGTTTCTGTGCAAGGGCTTTCTCTAGTTGTGGCAAGCGGGGGCCACTCTTCATTGCGGTGCGCGGGCCTCTCACTATCGCGGCCTCTCTTGTTGCGAAGCACAGGCTCGAGACGCGCAGGCTCAGTAGTTGTGGCTCACGGGCCTAGTTGCTCCGTGGCATGGGGGATCCTCCCAGACCAGGGCTCGAACCCGTGTCTCCTGCATTAGCAGGCAGATTCTCAACCACTGCGCCACCAGGGAAGCCCCATCCCCCT